ATAGTTATTCTCGTGACCGTGTAATAATACACTAATGTACATACATTGTATTATATTTATGTCAAACACTTCGTAAATACTACTTCTAAAATAGTAGTCATGGGTAGTCTACCAAAACAGGAGGGGGAGTTATCACTTCGGGGTCTGGTAAAAGGGGGGAGTTAGATGAGTTCATACCTAAGCTAGTAGTTGATACAATATAATAATTATTAATATATTTTTATCATTATGGTTTTTTGTGTGGTAAGTACTAAATTTCAAAACAATTGTCAATGCAAAGCGGCACATCACAAATTGCACAATAGTATAATGACGTTTCTTTTTTACAACGACCTAATTTTCCCGTTTTTAAATTATTAATGTCTTGCTGAGTGTCTGTGTAATGCGTGTGTGTGCAGTGCTTGTGTGTGTGTCAAGCGCAGGAAAAATAATCGATACCCTCTACTCTCTAGCGTCGGCCATGTTTGTATTGTTGGGACCTGCGCCTGACTAACCTTTAATGACCAAGAGCTGGGTTCTCGTTTCTTATACTTTGTCATCTCGGCGCTGCGGTGACAGTCAAACGCTAGTTGTAACTTTTATTTCAAGGCTATAATTTATAAATCACCCGAATCCTGTCGAAAAACATATTTTGTGAGTATAATACATATTATTTATTTATTATCAACAATACGGGCTGAGCCCAACTATACATAATATGATTATACATATTATGTATTAAGAAACTAGTCTAGCAAAACAGGAGGGGGAGTTATCAATTCGGGGTCTGGTAAAGGGGGGAGTTGGATGAGTTCATACCTAAGCTATCGACCTGATATTAAGTTGATACAATATAATAATAATAAATTATATTTTAACCAATATTAATTAACTTTATAAAAAAAAAAAAACAATTAGCATAATATATTATGGGTTAGGTTACCTTTTTAAGTTGATATAATATAATAATAATTAATATAATTTTACCAATATTGTTTTTTTTTTTGTGTGGTAAATTTCAAAATAATTGTCAATGCACAGCGGCACATCACAAATTGGACAATAGTATGAAGTTTCTTTTTTACAACGATTTAATTTTCCCGTTTTAATATTATTAATGTCTTACCGAGTGTTTGTATAATGTACTTGTGTGTGTGCAAGCGCAGGAAAAATAATCGATACCCTCTAGCGTCGGCCATGTTTGTATTGTTGCGTCCTGCGCCTGACTAACCTTAAATTTGTGTCTTTGTGTTCATATTACCATGGCAACCAACTCCGGGAGAAGATAGAATGGTTGTCTGTCTGGGTGTGTGCACTTTGGTTGCCATGGTTACCATGGGTTTCAAAGCTATAATAATAATAATTATTGGTTGCCTTTGGTTTAAAATTGTTGTTATGGTAACCTCAATCTATATAATATATAAAAATGAATGTATGTCAGTGTGTGTGTCCATATTACCATGGCAACCATATCTGTATATATAAAACAGTAAGCTGATTGACTGCTATCAACGCACATCTCAAACCATTGGACGGATCTGGCTGAAATTTGGCATACAGATAGCTATTATGATGTAGACGTGCGCTAAGAAAGGATTTGCCAAAATTCGCATTTTAAATAGGTGCTGAAACAAGGACATTGAGATTCACGATAGAAATTGGAAATTTTATTTTTATTTATTTATAGTTGCCATTGGTTACAGTCTACATTAAAAATTAGCATTTATTTATTGGTTGCCATTGATTATTCGGGCAGATCAGGTCAAGCTTGTATCAAATCAAATTATTGAAGATTGCCTACCAGGGTGGCTGAGTTGCACTTACCGCAGAAAGTTACACCCAAAAGGAGTTCAACAATCATAATTTTTTTAAGAGTTGCGATTTTTTACGAGCAACCAAATTTTTTATATTAACTTGGTATAACTTTGATACTTTAGAGTTAAATCATACACTTCCGTACAAACAGCACGGGGTCCGCGATCTACCTGATAATGTACTGCTGCGATTCAGAATTTTTATTCCGGGCAACGGAAAAGATAAGATAAATTTTGAACACCATACACCGAATATTGAATAATGAATTGAACAAAGTTTGAGTCATATTGAGTTGATACATTTAACGGGCGACGAAGTGCACGGGATCAGCTAGTATAATTATAAAAAAACATATTATTCATATAGTGTTGGTATTTTTAATGGACAACGAAGTGCACGGAATCAGCTAGTATATAAGTATATTATACAATTATTTACAACATTAACTTTAAATAAATAAAAAAACATTTGTTTCCCCATTTTTTTTTGGAGCCTTACGTTTGAAGGGGTAGTCGTAATCATTTGGTCACCGTGGTCTACGCCCGTTTTATATTTATTATAATTGATTATGGCCACGGGCTTAAATTTTTGTATTGGACCTCCCCTACGATTTTCCATCACCGTTCCTACACTGTTCGTTTTATGATCCCAAAGATACTCCAATATCAAATATTATTTTCTTTGTAGGTACCTAATTAAAAAAAAAACAACTAACACTTATTTTAAAAAAAAAAAAAGGTGGGTAAATGGGTGTCGCTCTGCTGTACAGAAGGTTACAATTGAGTCACTGTAATGGATTGTGTTAAATTAGAATCCAATAATATAATATCATGGTATAAGAAAAACGATTCTGAGCCAAGACGGTTAGGTCAGCCGCCCTATGATATTACTAAATATATAATATTTGATGATATTATTGTGATAGTTATAAGTTATAAGTTATAACCTATTTACATGGAACCTTGTTTTAACTTTCAATATTTAACTATAAAAGTTGAGCATTTTATACATTTTTAACTACAAAATAGTTTTAAATTTTAAATTTGATAAATGTTGTCAACATTCAAACTTTAAATGCTTTCAAAAAAAAATTGTGCTATTTATTTTCAATATTTTTCAACTATTATACTAACAATATAACAGGAACCTTGGAGTAAATTTTCAAGGTTTTTTACCCAGCAAACAAAATTTTATAGACAATTATAGAAAAAAAACTAAAAAAATTGAAAACTGAAAATGTCCGTAAATAGCTCAAAACGAGTCAAACTATTTTCAAAATTTTATGGTGTATAGAGAATGAGAATATTAAAATTTAGTTAATTTTCCATGCATCTACAGTTGTTAATTTTTGAATTACAACAAAATAAGAAAATCACTACATTAGAAATCTAGTGAATATCCAATGTTGTAAATATATGTACTTAAAACGCTCATAAAAATTGGATTTGAGTTGATATAAGATATTTTTTTTCGGTAGAGGTAGGCAATCTTATGAGAAATCTTGTGTTTATTTCAAACCTTAGGTTTAAAAAGAAAAAATTGTATGAGTTTCTAACTCAAAATAATTTGCACATTTTCGTGATTTTTACGTATTTTGTCAATATTTGAAATTTAAATGTTTATAAAATAAAATTGTGACTACGGATTTTTAATGTTTTTCTAATGTCATTGTAACAATAAATTAGGAGCCTTGTATTAAATGTTCAAGCTTTATTACCCAACAAATAAAATGTGATAGTCATCTATAGAAAAAAAACCTAAAAAAATTGAAAACTGAAAATGTCTGTAAACAGCTTAAGATAAATCAAAATATTTTTAAAATATTATGGTGTATAGAAAATTATAATATAATAAACATTCAAAGTTATTAATGATGCTATTTCTGTGTACACTGACAAGTGACGATACCGTGGAGTTTTTAAAAATAAAATGGCAATACGGGCGATAATTTATTGTTCCATAATAATATATTAAGTAACTATTATAAACGTTTCGCGTCCGACCACAAAACGTCTTTAATAGTGTGTGACTTATCTATGTATAATATAATAATATTATATTATATTATATTATATTATAGAAAACGACATCAAAATATGTATTAGTTCGATTAAAATAAAATGTTTAACAATACCTATAGGCTATAATCAAAAATCAAACGTAATATAGTTATCATATTATAAGGATACAGTTACATAAATTAACTCCCAAAACCAACCCTCATATACAGCCTTGAGCGGAGTAGCCATAATTTCATCGTATTCTAATAATATTAAAAAAAAATAAAATAAAAATGTAATTTCTTAATGATAAATAATAGCCTAACCTACCAATTAAAACAAAACGAATAAACAACTAAAACAACTGACTATAAATAAACAGTTATTATTTTAATAATAAATTCCCATTTCGTTGTTCAAGATTTTGTTGATCAAAAGCATCAATGTAGTTATAAAATTCGGGTACAACAGGAGCCAAATTAGTATACGTTTTATTTAAATCATCTGTTACATCTTCATTCAAAAAATAATAATTAATAAATAGAAGGTATTCAAGAAAATTATTATTTTTATTACAATTTTTAAGTTACTAACCGAAATCGTTGTCATCAAGTTCAGAAATACTGTTCTCAGCAAATACATCCATTAATAAATGGCGGCACTTGTTCTCCGGACACCGTGACTTACACGAAGAAAATTCAGCATGTGGCCGGGAATCGATCCAGCCACGGATGCGTCGCAACCGAAGCCTTATACCACTCGGCCACTCAGTCCCCCGGCAATTTATATTATAATTTATTATAAATTAAATATCCAATATACTCAAACGATTTCTTGTAAAACACGGTTTATACGCAAAAATATTGCCTGTTTTAAACACGATAAGCGTCCTAAACGTTGCAATGTATAAACATAGCAGCTTCTCCGATACCTACTATAATAAACTATGACCGTGTTAGACACGGCAAACGTCCTCAACGTAACAATGCCTTAAAAAATTGTAGTCTCCAATGTGCTAAGTAATGTACTAAGACTAATTAATAAATATATCTATATTTATTTTATGTATAAGCTAAATAGGCATAGTATATTGTATGTATGTAAATATATGGTACCATAATTAAATATTGTTATTTAAAGTTATAAAACAAATATTATTATAAATATTTTATAATATTGTCCATAGGTTAAACTGTATAAGGATAAATGGCGGATACACCAATTTGGCGTGTTAATGAGTATGGTGAAGGCGGTGTACAAAATGTACCCCAAAGTTGGACAGAGACTGGATCACCAGGAACCAGCTATTGGCCCCAACGAGGAGTTTTTAATTCAGACCTACAATACCTTAAGGCAGTAAAACATAATGCAAGTCATGGAATAACTTGGCCATCGTTACTGGGATTCTATGGTAGTTTTAAACTTTATAAATATTTTATTTTGTATAGGACAGTATTTAATATAGTTGACACTTGAAAGCATAGCTGATAAATGATAATCCTTACATTTAATTTAATGCAATATTAATCTTTTTTTTAAAAGATTAAAATATTTTAAATATATTAAAATATTTTTAAATATTAAATATGAATATAACTAATAAAAATATTTATTTAATTTCCCCTCATATATGGTACTTATGAGTTATGAGTAATAAGTATATTTTGTTTTATTTTAAACAGTATATTAACTATATTGTGTACTACACAATTAAGTTCAATACTCGTATAACAATAAATTACATGGCACTATTATTAATCGATTAAAAATTAATAAACCATTTAAAACACTATGCTAAACTCAATAAACATTTTTTCAAATCATCAAATTTATACTTGCAATTGTAATTATTGTTTGTAGGAATATTTATTTTGTTATATTTTAATACTTTAATCAAATGTGTTTTAGATGACTTTGACAAAGCCAAACGTAAACTAAAAAAATCTGAAGTCCATGCAGACCTTAACACAGATGTGGAAAAAGAAAAAAAAAGCCGAAAAAAACGGAAAAAAAAACAAATGTTAGTTCTAGCGACAATTCTGGACCTAAAGTAACGTCCACTATTAAAATGAAACCATTTCCTAAACCACAACAACCTAGTACATTGCGACAGACTTTATATTTAAATGAATCTACATTGCGTTTTCCTTAAAAATTACGATCTCACAGAATCTCTTTCTAAATTTTCCGCATCTACTGCATCATTGACCGCACATTAAATATTATAAATAATAAAATTATTCGATTTGATTTAAAAATACACAACAATACCAAATACATTAAATACGGTAATATTATAATAGACATTGCCTTTGCGATTCTTTGACCAGTCCACTTCCATCCAGCCACCATTACACAAATAACAATTTATAATAATATCGACATCATGAATTCACACGCATCTTCGAGTGGCTTGCTGTCCCCCATAGCCAACTTTATCACTGAGGCGGACGTGAACGGCTCCCACATTGTGTCACCTCCGACCATAATTGCAGGGCACAATTCGAGTTCTTTATCGTCCTCAAAAAAGTCGTCGGAGCCGGATCCAGAATCACCGATCCAATTACAATTGTGATTAAAACTCCACCGATCACGATCACCTCTTGAGACAGCGATATGGGAATCCAGTGCTGTGAACCCAATGGTAACTTCGCCAACGAAGAGAAGCACAAGTTTTACCATCCAATGGACGACCACCTGTTACGCACGGTGTGTCGGTGTCACAATGTCACGCTATACAACAATGGAATATCCCAACCTAGCCAATGGTGTAAGGAACGTTGGCCAAGACGGCGTGGTACCAGCTCACGTTCCTGGTCCTGAGCATGTTGTCGTTATGTTAAATGCTGATACCATTGAATGTATACCACTGCTCGGAAAGCCACAAGCGCAGCTGCTACGTCGACAACCTTACGATGAGCATCGTCTCGTCGCATTGCATCGCCTTTTTCGCCGAGACAAGCAGACAACCGACTGTCGCAGACTTGAAATCAACCGGTATGTTGGTAAATATTATACCTGTATAATTAATTTATATTATAATAATTATATTGTTGCTGAAGTGGTGTTAAGTGGTGTTAAGTATTTGATATAGACGCTAAAATGTATATTATTATACCGTCAAGCGAGAGTATGTGGTAAAAAAAAAAACTAAATAAAACTTGTTTCATTTAAATTTTAAAATATGTTTTAGATTCTGAGTGGAACGATGAATGTATTGATTTTACAATGATTTGTTTTTTTTTTTTTTTTTTTGGTATCTGTCATCACCTTTTAGGACAGTAAAAATTCTTAGATTTTCTTCAACAGTATCTTTTCTGATAGGAAATTAATTCTAGTTGATACTTTGGGGAGTCAAAAGTAAAAATTTCTCAGTAGTTTTCAAAAGTGCCGTGAAAAAACAAAAGGAAAATTAAAGAAAAACTGGAATTTTTACACAAAATCTGTTTTCTAGAAAATATATTTTGGTTTTTGGTGTAACTTTAAAACAAATGACCGTAGATAAGTGAAATTTTCACTGGTTGTTTATATTTGCATTTTCTATACTCGATAACATTTTCAAAATATTGTGACTTATTTTGAGGTGTTTAGGGACATTTTCAGTTTCCATTTTTTTTTTGTTATTTTTTTCTTTAAATATCAATAAAATTTTATTTGTTGGTTAAAAAAGCTTGAAAATTTAATAGAAAGCTCCTAGTATATTGTTCCAAAGGCAGATGAAAAAAATTAAAAATTCATTTTTACAAATTTTTTTTATAAGCATTTAAAGATCGAATTTTGACAAAATTTATCAAATTTAAAATAGTATAATTATTTTGTAGTTAAAAATTTATAAAATGTTCAACTTTTATATTTAAGGATTGAAAATTTAAAACAAGATATTACGTAATTAGTTAATTCAGTTACCAAAAAATTTAAAAAAATACATAAGCTCAGTTTATTTTTGTAGTCATTTTAAGTTCAAATTTGGACGAAATTACATATTAAAAAACCTAGAATAACTATTTTAGTTATTTTGTTGTGATTGTATAATATTATTAGTGGGTACTTGAAACTTCCAAAGTATACTACTATATATCTATGATAGTATCACGGTTTGTTATTGATGTATCACGCGTTATAAGTACCTAATGGATATTTGGAATTTATTATAGGGCAATTTTTTTTTAATACAATAGATAAGTATATAATATGTTTTATTTCTAAACTGACATACCGTCTCCGCTCAGAATCATTTTTCTTATACAATGATATTATATTATTGAATTCAAATTTAATACCATCTATTATACAGTGACTCACTTGTAACCTACTGTACAGCAGAGCAACTTTTTTTGAATGTTTCTAAAAGTTGTATAAGGTATATTATAAAAATTGTTATTAATTATTTATCTACCTATTTGTTTTGCATTATCACAATAAAATTCAACTTAAATTCAAATTTATAATTCAAACAAAAACAAGCACATTCAGGCTGATAAAATGATAAGTAGGCATTAACATGGTGTTGATAAAACCTGATATTTTAGTTTTTATTAGTTCTATACAAATTAATGAAATTATAATATACCTATTTATATTGCCTGTTAAATTATTTGAAATATGGATTTAATTATAATTAAAGTTGATATAATAATATAATATCTAAATAGATACACCCAACATTTATATTTCATGACAGATATAACGATACCTTTATGTTCAAGTTTTCTGAGAAGAAGTTGTTTTAAATGTTTATGTATAATATAAAATAGTGTAAACAAAACCCAGTCTTTTAAAATGTCTAAACATTTAATTCAGCTTAGCGTATGCGTTGAAATAGTAATTTAATGGAATCGTGGGGGATATGCCCCCCACACCCCCTTTCCTGGTTTTTTAAATTTAAATTTAAACATACAAAGTTTTAAGTATTCATTAATATATATTACATTACCTAGTACATAACAAAATAGTATATTTAATAAATAAAAAGTAAATCACTTTTTAAAAATTAATGAACCTTATGACTTATAATAGATTGTCATCTGTCGACGATAGCGTATCCAATACTGATCCCGCATACATGAGTGACCGATTACACGACCACAAGCGTTCTATGTTTTATTATTAATATTATCGATAAGAACTATTAATATTAAATAACTGCAGTCGCTGAAAGTCTGTACCCGTATGCAATCGCCTACTTGCATAGTGTTTACATACTAAACAAGGTACTGAGGTACTAGCCAGTGGCGACTAGATATAAGGACTATAGAGCGCGGCGGCCGTGGTGTTACGGATTAATCATCCTAATGAATAATTTAATTAATGAACTTGGAAGAAAATCCACAAAATATTATATTACAAAGAACTAAATTAGTACAATGAAATTTAAAACATTTTTATAAAAATATAGAATTATTAATATATAAAAAAATATTTTTTCATTTTGTGAAGTGTATGTTGTGCATACACAGCATACGCATACGCTACGCCACTGATTTTGTTCCAAACAGTCTTCTGCGGCATCAAGTATCAACGCTTACAAACATATTATTGTATTATATTTATTAAAATATTATTACGGTGCGTGTCGGTTATTATACATCGAGCTTCTCAAAATATTAGCGAGTCCCAAATTATTGAGGACATAAAACGATTACGTTCAAAATATTTAAATGTATACATTTGTTTAAGTAGGTTCCTACCTATACCTACTTAAACAAATGTACTAAAAAACTATGACCGTGTTAGACACGGCACTCGTTCTCAACGTACAACAATGCCTTAAAAAATTGTCGCCTCCAATGTGCTAAGTAATGTACTAAGACTAATTAATAAATGTATATATATTTATTTTATGTATAAGCTAAATAGGTATAGTATATTGTATGTATGTAAATATTTTGAATCCATAATTAAATATTATTATAAATATTTTATAATATTGTCCATATGTTAAACTGTATAAGGATAAATGGCAGATACACCAATTTGGCGTGTTATTGAGCGAAGGTGGTGTACAAATTGTACCCCAAAGTTGGACAGAGACTGGATCACCAGGAACCAGCTATTGGCCCCAACGAGGAGTTTTTAATTCAGACCTACAATACCTTAAGGCAGTAAAACATAATGCAAGTCATGGAATAACTTGGCCATCGTTACTGGGATTCTATGGTAGTTTTAAACTTTATAAATATTTTATTTTGTATAGGACAGTATTAAATATAGTTGAAACTTGAAAGTTGAAAGCATAGTTGAGAAATGATAATCTTTAAACTTTATTTAATGCAATATTAATATTTTTTTTTAAAATTTGTTTCAACGAAAAAGGCGATGCAATGCGACGAGACAATGCTCATCGTAAGGTTGTCGACGTAGCAGCTGCGCTTGTGGCTTTCCGAGCAGTGGTATACATTCAATGGTATCAGCATTTAACATAACGACAACATGCTCAGGACCAGGAACGTGAGCTGGTACCACGCCGTCTTGGCCAACGTTCCTTACACCATTGGCTAGGTTGGGATATTCCATTGTTGTATAGCGTGACATTGTGACACCGACACACCGTGCGTAACAGGTGGTCGTCCATTGGATGGTAAAACTTGTGCTTCTCTTCGTTGGCGAAGTTACCATTGGGTTCACAGCACTGGATTCCCATATCGCTGTCTCAAGAGGTGATCGTGATCGGTGGAGTTTTAATCACAATTGTAATTGGATCGGTGATTCTGGATCCGGCTCCGACGACTTTTTTGAGGACGATAAAGAACTCGAATTGTGCCCTGCAATTATGGTCGGAGGTGACACAATGTGGGAGCCGTTCACGTCCGCCTCAGTGATAAAGTTGGCTATGGGGGACAGCAAGCCACTCGAAGATGCGTGTGAATTCATGATGTCGATATTATTATAAATTGTTATTTGTGTAATGGTGGCTGGATGGAAGTGGACTGGTCAAAGAATCGCAAAGGCAATGTCTATTATAATATTACCGTATTTAATGTATTTGGTATTGTTGTGTATTTTTAAATCAAATCGAATAATTTTATTATTTATAATATTTAATGTGCGGTCAATGATGCAGTAGATGCGGAAAATTTAGAAAGAGATTCTGTGAGATCGTAATTTTTAAGAAAAATGAGCTGCGATAACACACCTGAATCAGTGACTGGAACGCAAAATACTCTGACGGACTCCACGTCGTTTAAGGACTATTTATAACATATATATAGAAAGGCGGCCAGCCTTTTTTAACTACAAGGTTGCTAACCACCCACTACCCTTAGAAATTCAGAGTCATCGCCGACGCTGCCACTGACGATGAAGTTGTCCCCCCTCTGACTCCCACCGCGCCCACGACATTGAATTTGTCCCTTGGTACAATATTACATATAGGTATTATTATAACGAGCTAGAATTACTCTTCCAGTAGCCGAATATACTGGAGACAATAAGGAGTAAAATATTAAAGTGAGCTGGACATGCTTGACGTAGTCAGAATCCCTTACTACGTGTAATATTAGAAAAGGATCCTACAGGGAAGAGGCCACCGGGAAGACCTTGCATGAGATGGGAAGATCTGGTGAAAAAAGATGTAATCGCCTTTGGTGGAGGGTCAGATTGGAAGGAACGAGCATCCGACAGAGATGGTCGGAGAGAAGGGTGTTTGAAGGGATGGTCCTAGCGGCCGATTGCCCGAAGAAGAATAAGAAGCAGAAAATTATTATTACAGAACAAATTCACAGAAAATGTATTAATTCTCCATCGAAATGTCTGTGAAAACAAAATATCTTTAATACGAATCACGTTCCGTTATTTGTCCAAAAAATAAATTAATAATTGATAATTGTGATGTTTTAATAAACTTAGTTTTAGAAGTGTACAAATACTTGACGATTATTGTAAAAAAAATATTGAGCCATTGTACTTTGCCGAAATAAAGTATTTCTAATTATTTATCACGATGGCCTTGAACGAGTATGCTAATAAGGCACTTACTTGAGTTTTGTAATTTGTTCATTTTTAAAATTTTTTTTTGGGTAGGCAGGTGGATAGAAAATGTATGTACATTTTACTTAGGTACCTATTACTATTCAAAAAAATATTTGGTTATACTAAGTAAGGTGGTTATATATTAGGTAAATTCTCAATACTAATACTGTTCTATTGTGAATGTATAATACTATAAAGTAAGAACCTATATGTAGGTATAAATATGTGCAAATTGGTAAACAAATAATTAACTGTAGTATATCCAGCGCCATGGCCGTGGCGCTAGCTAAGTAAAAAAAAAAATAATTGCACGACCTTGGGTGTATATTATATCGAAGCAGAAGTTGCCTATTTAAACTGTGTAAAATACGGGTAAATTTGTTATACGACATAAGTAAATAACTAATTTTCTAATGCATCAATTAACTCCTAGTGAACTCTAAAACATCAGAAATATTGTGTAGAATGTGCTTTTATAAAAACCATAAAAATCTTACATTTAGAAATCATGCTATAAATGAAAAAATGTGAACTTTTTAATGGACATTTATATTGTCGTTGTAGCAACAGCGTTGCCAATGTTTGTCATCTAGTCATCGAGGAAAATATGACAAAATTACATGAATATAAACAATATTACCGTTTTTTTACCTAGATGATTGTTTGAATACTCATTATTTACTCAGTATTTATACACAAATAATATTGTTGTCCGTACTTTACTCCCTACTTTATACAATAAACTATATATGTATATATATAAACTAGCTGATCCCGTGCACTTCGTTTCCCGTTAAATGTACCAACTCTATACGACTCAAACATTGTTCAATGCGTTATTTAATATTCGGTGTATGATGTTCTAGATTTATCTTAACTTTTCTGTTGCCCGGAATAAAAAATCTGAATTGCTGCAGTACATTATCAGATAGGTAATTTACCTGCGGTAGATCGCTGACCCCGTGCTGTTTGTACGTAAGTGTATGATTTAACTCAAAAAGTACCAAAGTTACCAAGTTTGACGTTTTTACTTAATTACACCTACCTATAAATCCTAACCTAACCTAACCGTACTAAAATCCGATGAATAAAAAAAAACCAAATTTAACCCTTTTTAAATTAGCGTATCTTCTTCCCATAGGTCTAATCTACACACCGTCATTCATTTATATATAAGATATATTTACAAAAAATAATAATACAAATCAACAAACATGCCCGATTAACCAATAGCAACCAATATAATATAATACACAATAGAGTAAATAAAGACAACGGTATCGAGTTCAAATCCCAGACATCAATAAATAGTTTTTGCAGTTTTTCTAATTATTCGGTTGACTTTTTAAAAATTTTCTTTCGTAAAAACCTTCACCTGGAAATTACGAACATCTTAAAAAAAATTTGAGCAAAATCGGCCCAGCCGTTCTCAACTGATGAAATTTCGAATTTTTTGTCTCCATTTTTATATATATAGATAAAAAATTTAGATACATTATCATTACTTGCATCAACTACATGTAAAAATGGCTAAGTAAAAAAAATATATGACCTTAATCACTATAATGATATGATATCATGAATAAATGCTTAGTATATTGAATTTAAGTAAACTTATTTTGTTTCAATTATTTATGTACTTGGAGAGAAATTATTTCGTAAAAGGAACAAAGTATGATGAACAAAATAATTAAATGGCGAAGGACTATTAAAATATAACTTATTATTATTTAAAAAATATTATTATTAATATTTATATACCTTAGGCGTAGGGAAATTGGAGCCCCCATCGCCTGATACTAAGGTATCACAATAGCCCCTTGTTGGTGGAAAGTTCCAGGCGAACGATTCCAGCAAGGAGAGGGATGAAATCCCCCAACCTGTTGGGCCTCCATTAATGGGGGTTTGGCTTGAGGCTAACCACCTCACACAAGAAAAAAATATGGGTTCCAGAACAACACAAAACCAAGCATCGGATGAATAATTATTTGGATAAGTTTAATCTAGGAACCTGGAATGTACGGTCGCTTATATGGCGGGCTCACTGACAGTTGTAGAGACTAATTTAGAGCGATACAGAATTGCAATAACGGCAATTCAAGAAGTTAGGTGGATAGGAGATGGAAATCTGAAATAATTTTACGGTTTTTTATAGTTGTGGCAAAATACATGAAAGAGGAGTAGGATTTATTATTAACAATTAATATCTACCATACATAAAACAATTTGAACCGTATAGTGATAGACTATATTATATCAAACTTGAATGTAAACACATGAATCTAACACTAATAAATGGCTATGCGCCTACAGAGGACAAGCAAAAAGACGAAAAAGAAGCTTTTTATGAAGATTATCCTCGGAGATTTCAACTCAAAAGTTGGAAAGGAGGAAATATACAGACCAACAATTGGAAAAGAAAGCCTCCACACACTCTCCAATAATAATGGTAACAGACTAATTAATTTTGCAATATCAAATAAAAATAGTTGTTCCCTTAATTTATATGAAATAGGTATTACTAAGTAATTAAGATAATGACGGACCGTAGATAGTCATAATATCTATACTATTCATAGTAATATATATAATTCTATATTCTATATATCTTAATTCGTGGTATCTACTTTAAAGGCCACTCAAATTATCGATAATATACTTATTAGTTATTACAAGTTATGACCAATAAGACGCGATGAACAAAATTTAGTTTGTTAGAAAACAAGATTTTGAAAAAGACTTTGATTGTTTGGGTATATTATGGTCAAATCAGTGATTTGTGTGATTTTTGTGAGTCGCGTGTGTAATTGTGTATCATTTAATCATTACGAAAAATAATACTTCTGTAACGATTCAACAATCCACGAGATATCAAGTTCTAATAAGCATCAACTATCAAGTATTCAAGTATGACATCACAACCTTCATTATTACATTTCTTTTAATAAAAAAACAGCTGTGCCCGAGCTTAAGCATAGTGATGAAATCCCTTGTTCACCAAATATTATTAATAACACTGAAATTGAAAGTAATACTGATTACTGATTCAACTAATTTAACTGAATTAACTGAAATGTATGATATTGGTTTATATATTAATACAAGAATATCTAGAATACAAGAAATTTATACAAGTTTTATACAAGTTTTATACATTTTTTAAGCCCTCCCCCCCCCCGAAATTAAATACTATATAAACGACACTGGGTATACCCAACCTATATAACTGGTACGTAGTTATAATTAATTTGCAACAACAGATAAACAAACATTACAGTTTTATATTTTACGTTTGAATTATTCATTTTACTCTACTTCAACATAATTAATATTAATTTTATTTAGACACTTGAAAAACGAATAGTCGCGGTGGGGGAAACTTCACTTATAAATTTAGTGGGGGTTAAAAATACTGCAATTAAGTCTCTTAATTCTTATTTAGTCGATTATACGCGTTCACACTGCGTTCACATATTATTAATAATAGTATAAGATTTATTTACCATTTGAGTGTTTAATATTGTAGGCAGTTATTTAACCAGTCAACAATTAATCATGTACAATTAATACATTTTAATATAATAATATCTATTTAGTGTTGTTATTTTATTAAATTTGCAATATACTTTCATCGTCGGTCGATGGCCATGAAATCTTCGTTCTTCTGGCTAACATGTTTTTGTTTCATTTACGGTACGTAATTTCAATACATTACTATGCGTATAAATTACCTTATATATTTACTATATAATACCTATTGGATATTACCTATATTTATATTATTTAAGTAAACGCAAAGTATACATTTAAATATAAATCGTATGTATATTTTTTAAATTGGCTTTACCGCCATTATATTGAAGCGGCAGTATATTAGGGGAGACCTGGGACAAAAGTACAAAACTAACATTTGATGAATTTATCTTTGCAGGATAATATTGTTAAAAACTAGGAGGACTAGGGAGTGTTACTTTGCCCCACTACATGAGATTTATTATTGACCAATGTTTATTACTTTGGACTGCCCTGAGGTGATATAAAATTTTGTTTTCAATTCCTCCCGTAGTCCCGTTTTATACCAATCTTTTGTTTAGTGGATACGTTTTTTAAAATTTGAATTTATCTAATTTAAAATTAAAATAAGTAGTTTCTCAGTTATAAAAATGTAGCTAAAGATAAATAAAAAGATCAATTATAGGGCTTAAGACTGGTTTATAAAAATATAAAATATATGACGTTATATCGAATCTAGTATAGGTACATATTTTCGTAGTATTATACTACGTTATATCAAGTATTATACTTGCTACTAGGACGGACTATTTTTATAAATTATTAACGATGATAGATTAATATGTATTACTAACATTTTTGCATTTCCATATCCCCCATATCTTCCAAACCCATTATTATACCTATCATCCCTGGATATCAATTTGAAGTTATTCATATTTTTTTGAAGTAGATTTTGTATTCGGTTTGTTTGTTTGCTTCCGTAAAAAATATATAAGTCATCTACAAACAGAGTATTGTAACAGTGTATTTGAGGGGTTCAGTGATGGTGTTGGATATATTGTTTATAGCTACGTAAAATAATGTTGGGATAGGCTTAACCCTTGTGTGATTCCATTTTCTTGCAAACATTTCTCAGAAGATGTGTTGCATAATTTTAATTGGAATGATCTGGTTATGTCTAATAAGTAGGTTTCCGTGGCACAATATTGTGTTTTGTTTTTAAATGATCCAATGTTTCCACGTGCAGTCATAGGATTATTCTATGTCATGACTAATAAGACTCATAGATTCATTTTCGGTTTTGGAAATTTGTTACTTAATGTGTTTTTTCTATGTATTGTATAAGCCTTGAATTTGCATTTTTTTAAGGGTTGTGTAAGGGTGGCTTACCCGCTATTAAAATCAGTATCGAGTATTTGTTTATTTCTGTTTGCAATTGGTTTGACGTAAGAAAAAAGGCCTTCCTACTATTCACTGTACCTGGATTGCCTATCTCGGTTACATTTATGCCCGGGCAACGCCAGGTAATATAGCTAGTATAATAACTGTATAATAATAGACTCAAATGCATGTCAAATGTAAATATAATCAATATAAAAACAGTTAATATCCAAATGTCGAGTGGAATCTTCTAGAATCTAAATTTGATTTATTACCATACATTTTCACTCATATAATGTTCACCTGACTCCTAGGTAAATTTCTTATAAATTAAAATTATTAATATTAAGGAATTATGTTAAATATTATATAATAAGTACCTACTTTGAATTTTGATCGAGTTTAATTCAAATGCATAACATAATATGTAATGTTTTTATATATTATACTATAATTTATTATAAAACACACCGTTATAATATTTCCATAGAGTTTTTTAATTTTAATTTAATATAATTTTTATTTTATTTATTCATAGTTTAACATCCACTACTAAGTAATTAGCAACCAAAAAAAAAAAAATTATATTAGTTAAATATAAATAAAACAACGGTTTCCTTAGATTAAGTTGTGAATATAAATAAGTTTTAGAAATGTTATGATTTTGTTGGTGTTGTCTTGGATTGGGCTAAGGCTTTGAAGAGGTTTTCAGACATTTCTAGGCTTTTTCTGGTTATTTCTATATGGTTTCGGACCTTACAGGACATTACAGGTTCTTCTCTGCGCCGCATAAGATGTTCATGGGATATCTTTGGGTGACCTATGTGTAGTCTGTTAATATCTACTTCATCTTTGCGATTTGATGTATAGGATTTGGCATGTCCCGTATATAGTAGTATTTTAAATTTTTTAATATTTTTTTGTATGGGTACAATTTATAAGTAGGGTAATATGCGTTCTGTAAAAATATTCTTATGTATTTCACAAATAATCTCGAAGATTTTGTTGTTAAATTATTTTGAACTATACATTTTAACTCTAATATTTATATAACTGGTAGGTATGTACTACCAATTGAATAGCTACCGATAAAACATTATAATATATTTCTTGTGAGAAATTATTGTTGTTTGATGAATGAGGTGAATTTGTGTATAGTATGGAGGGATTTATCTCACCTCCTCCATCTGATTAACATTATAATTCGTATGGGCTACTCCACCAGATGTATATAAATATAATGGAATATTTAATATGTATACGTCTTTAATATAATATGAGTTATTAATTGTTTTAGGAACGGGCATAATGTGCAATCCATTAATCGAAAAACGTCAAACTGTATCATGTTCAGTGTTGGTAACTATATTCTATCTTAACAAAATACTTACCTACTAATAATCATCACCAGTGGCGTATATATAATTTAATTTCGGGGGGGGGGGATATAAATCCCAAGTAGGATTCTTGACATTAAAATTAATAATAATAATTCTACACACACATAGTTTTATTTTCTAGTGGGGAGGTGGAACCCCTTACTGAGATATACGCCACTGATCATCACTTCCCAATAAAACTAAAATCTTACTCAGTATTTGTAAATATATATAATTATAATCGTGATACTAGAATTTTATATATTAGATTATGTGTTTGTTTGATTATTTAAAAAAATAAAAATTTCAAATAATACTTCACAACCAATTTTTAATTTGTTAGGGGGGTTATATCCCTAAATCCCCCTTAATTCTAATGATTTTTAAATCATTAACCATCCCTAAAACATTTAAAACGTATAAACGTAAATATACCTATTAAAGGTGCTGTGACTACAATGTTATAACTTATAAGGTATATATTAACATTTCGAAGTTATAGACTAAATCCTTGTAAAAATAATGTTGTTCTGAATAATTATAACACTATAATAATTTTTTTTTCTTAAAACTTCAAGCATATTATACAATTCAAGTTGTGTTAACAGAAACATGTTCAGGTGTGCAAATAAGGAGTGTGTTGATCCGGCATCAATTTGCGATGGAGTCGCAGATTGTTCAGATAAGTCAGATGAAACCCAAAGTTTGTGTGCTCCATTTTTTAAAACGTACGGAAATAAAGCTAATAAGTTTTAAAGGATTAATAAAATATATAATATATTATGTTCTTATTTTATATGTAAATAAAGATGTCCAGGATCTGCATTTCGTTGTAATTACGGTGCATGTGTAAGTAAAAATTCAAAATGTAATGGTATGTACGATTGTGTTGATGGATCAGATGAAAAATTACCTGAATGTAATAAATTAGGCCTAAGTATTTCTTCAAGCCCTACAAGACCGCAACAAACTCAAGAAACCAGTCAGGCTAAATGCATGTAAGTAATTAATTTTAATTTAGAAATCATATAATTGTTTGATTAGAATATATTTATATATTTAATGATTTGCTTCTTTCTATATAATTTGCATAATATTCATAATAATTAATTATGTAGCTTGGCGAGGCATAAGAGTAAGTAACAGTGGTCTGCTACCACTAATTCCCGGATGGTTGATCACCCGTGGGTTCATAGTAGTAAAAACCTTGCCACACATAGGTATACACGTGCCAACCAACCGTTCCAACCCTTACAAGAGCTATAATGGCCATAATTGCAGAGGTTAAGACCAATAAAAAAAAAATTATTGTTACATATACACGAGTATTATTAATATCAATAAAAAACTTTGGATTTTGTGTAAAAATCATAATATATTTATTGTTTATAATAGTATATATTTTAATAATATTATATTATAATAAAACTATTAATTTGTAAAAATATAAATGTATTTTTATTATTAAGAAATCTAGAGGAATACCGCTGTTCATCTGGCCAATGTATAGATATAACATCCATTTGTGATGGAACTTCAGATTGCAATGACGGATCTGACGAAACATCAGAATTGTGTAAATCAAGGGTGTACGTATCCATCGGAATTTACAACATGCATATTACATTTAACTGTACATAGCTATTGTATTAATATATATTTAATGTTTTAAAGGTGTCCAACGAGTACGTTCAAGTGCAAGTATGGTGCCTGTATAAATAATGGAAAAAAATGCGACGGTTTGCAGCAATGCGCTGACGGTTCCGATGAAGCAGACTGCAATGGAAACTCAAAACCCAAACCTTTGACATTAGTTAACCCAACTTCACAAATCACGCAGATGCCGACCACAACCTCGGCGCCGCAGTATCAAACTAGTAGACCAACAACGCAGACCAATAATATGAGGTATTGTTCTGCTTATGTATTTTTAATGTTAACATTTTTTTTTTCAAAAAATATTAATACACATAATTTAAGATAGGATAAACAAATATTATTGGTAAAAACCTTGAAAACGCTGGACATGGATTTGGTTAATTATAAAATATGTTAAGAGCGCCACTGTTCCGCGGTATATTATTATGGTAGGTATTTACCTAACTACCTATATTAAAAAGTTGTGAATCTCTGGTACTGCTTGTATCTTTACATCATGAGATGATTTAGATGTTAGACAGGAAACTTAGTTATACCTATAGTGGCGAGTACAGTTTAAAGTAAATTTAAATAAAATATTAAAAATATAAATTACTTTACTTTGGTGTTTAAGTGTTTAACTACTGAAAGCAATACAAGGAGCAAGCAATTAATCTAGACTAGATTGGCATACGCATATCTAGCAAGCAGAACGATTACTATTATATATTTTATTTATTAATCAAAATAGATAGGTACTAATACGGCAATACCTATATTGGATATGACTACGAGGTAGTATAGAGCGGCTATGAAATGACACATTCGTCTGGGTTATAATAATAAAAAATAAAATATACTGTAGTCTGTAATGATGTTTCACATCATAGCTCTGATTTCGTTTCTTTAAAATTATATACTACGTGTTTGCTAATGTTAAGAGTTAAGACACTTAAAACTTAAAATTGTAATTTATATCACATTTTAATAGGATTTAATTAAGAAAATATTTATTTAAAAAAAAAATATTGTTTTTTTTCAACAACATACCGTGCTTCACTTCCGTTATTAATTAACGAAATAACTCTATTGATTCTATGTTATTTTCGAAAACTGACATGTATTCGAGAATAAACGAAAATAATATAAGTTGCCAAAGTGACTGAGTTGTGCTCTTAATTTTGACACAAAAGTTCGAATTGTATCAGAGTTGAGACTTACACCGTAGAATTCCTTGCATTAAAAAGCCCTAAGTACAAAATTCTGACAAAATCGTAAGAGGCGTCTTCGAGAAAAATTGTGTTGGCAATTATTATCCTGTTAAAGTGATTCCTCTGCCGTTGCTTGGAGCAAAATTGACTTTTACGAGTTTCAGCAAATTGACTCGAGGTTTACTCGAATAATAATAATTTCAAAACAGATTTGAATATTTTATTACAAATTCTATTTCGAATCATTGGAGTCAGAATTAAAAAACCAAAATTTAAAACTATTTTTTCCATTAAGATTCTTAAAATTATGAATTTATTCAATACATTTCAAATAAGAGTTTTAGCTTTTTAAGAAAAATAAATTAAAAATGTGGCTTTAAGTGTCCAAAGTTTACTTAAAAATAAAATAAAATCATTATTGGTGTATAACTTAAGTTGGAAACTAGTTTAAGTCTGATTTACGACATTTTGTGTATAGAGTGAGTGTAAGAGCTTAACGTTAACCCTGCTTGCTGTCGAAAAATTCAAAATAAACTTCATAATAAATTAAAATATATGCATTTTTCTCCAAAACACTGAAGTGTAAAATCCTGTTAAAATACTATTCACAAAAAAAATTCGTGTGTGCGTAATGATTATACAATTTTTTTTGAAAACTGCTGAAAGCTATGTAAAAAAAAAGCATAGCAATATATCATTCACTTATTAATATATTATAATTTAAATGTAGGTATACTTCTTAAAATACTATTCCATTATATTTTAGTTATTGTAACGTTATAATGCTTTAAAGATCATGCATGGTACCATATATCGAGGGCACTGTGTATTCTTTATTCGAAACTGAATCAGATCAAAATTCTTCTTTATCACCTGGGTCATTTGTTGGTCCAAATACTGTAGTTGAAGAGAGCTGCGAAGAAGGATATTATAAAACGACTTCTAATAGAATTATAATTTGTTCAGGAAATGGAAATTGGAAACCAAAGGTTGATAAATTATGTTTGAGTAAGTATGCATTATTATTTATTGTCTATACAAACATATTTATAGACCACAATTAGTATGACTGTATGAGTAGGATAGTAGGTATTCCTTGATACTTGACTAATTTAATATTTTCACTGTTAATAGTATTTTTATTAATTAATAATTGATTTATGTTTCAAGAAAGATACTCATATTAGATTTATTTATGTCTTATAAGAAAGATGTCCATCCATGTTTTCGGACAGTTTAGATATCGAATGTATTTTCCATGATAAAAAAGATGATTGTTCAAACCCATCAATACCGGGCACTATATTAACACCAAAATGTAAAGTCACGCACACTGTACCAAATGGTCAAATCGAGACACCAATTAAATTACGTTGTCAACAAGATGGGAAATGGAGTGATCAACTTTATACATGTATCCCACGTAATTATATTTTTAAATACCTTTTATTTTAATCCATTTAAATTCAACAAAATTAATGTTTGCAATTTTTTAAGTTGGTATTTAAGTTTAATATACGATTTTATCTCAAATTTATTTATTGTTTTCCTTTATGAGATTCTGAGCGGAGCGATAAATTTTGAATTTTATAATTAAGTGTTTTTTTTAAAAATTGTTTTTGTGTCTGTTTAAACGATTAGTGGTCAAATAATGCTTAGATTTTCAACTTCAGTACTTCACTTACTTCTAGAAGTTTTCAATAGCGTTGGGAACAAATAAATTTAAGGAAAACTAGATTTTTACTCAAAACAAGTTTATATCAAAATCGATTTAGTTTTTTTGGGGTTATTCAAAAACTAATAACCTTAGATATTTTAAATTTGCATCAAATGTTTATGTTATTATTTTACTTAATTTATATATAATAAGAAAAATATTTTTATTCTTTTGAGTTACTTATTTAATATTTACAGGCATTTGAAATGTTCAACTTTTTTCTTTAAAATTCGATAAAATAAATGGGTTTTAACGATTAGCTGGGTCTAACAACTAGAACTTTTAACTAGAACTTTTCCCATAAGATGTTATAATAGCAGTTTAAAGATATTATTTACAAGCTTTTAAGTGATAAAATTCATCAAAATCACGAAAATTTCAAATTTTTTTGTAGATACCTAATCACTTACAAAATGTTCAATTCTTAGGTAGGTATAAAAATTGAACATTTAAAACACGATATCGCATAAATATATCATACAGTAACCAAAAAATCTAAAAAAGTATATATATGGATCATTTATAAATATTTTTTTTATAGACATTTTGATGCAACTAAAAATTTAAACGAAGAAAAACAGTTTAAGTTATTAAGTTGTAATTTAATAAAATTATTCGTGGGTACTTGAAACGTTTACAGTATAATATTATATTTTATACAAGTAATGACATTTTCAAGCGCAATGTTTTGCCAAAAATAATTTCAAGCTACTGTATTACTTATAGTAAAATAAATTAATATATCATAAAATATAATATTTAATAATTTAGGCTTACATAGTTACATATTGTCTTCGCTCAGTATCATATCGTATTATGAAAGATTTATTGAATTCAAATTTAACACATCCGTTACAATGACCCACTCGAAAAATTACCGTACAGCTGAGCGGTGTACCCACTTGCCAACTTTTTTAAGTATAAAGACAGTTGTTTTGTAAATAAATTGATTCATTTATTATGGCACTTACATAAAATGTGAAATTTCCTATTAACTATAGATATTCTTACATTAATAAATGGCTCCTCTAACATAAACTGATTGAAAGCATTATTGTCTTTTCAGTATTATATTCATGTTAAAACTTAAAATATCTAAACGATTGGATTTTAAAACATTAAACTAGGGTATACTAAAGTATACTAAAGAATTAAAATACTGTTGTAGATTGTGGCCGACCATATACTCCAAACCAAGCATTGATTCTTAATGGCGTTGAAGCTAAATATGGGTCAGCACCTTGGAATGTTGGAGTGTATCGAAAATCTGCCAAAAATAATTTTAACATGATATGTGGAGGATCACTGATTGCTACAAATTTAGTTGTATCTGGTAAAATAACTTTGTGCAGTGTGTATTAACTAAGTTCAAAATGACAAACAATTTATTTTTAGCTGCTCATTGTTTTTGGCAAGAAAAGTTGACGAGTAGAATATTATTAAACCATGGTACGTATAAAGTTGGCGTTGGAAAGTATAAGAGTGACATTACAGTTAAGGACAATGAATTTACCCAGATTGTCGATGTAAGTAACAAACCGTTAAATAGAAATGAAAACTTTTTTTTATTTATTTAAAATAATATCGAAAAGATTGTCCTCACTGAGATAGACTCAAGTGGAGGGCCAGGGTTATTTTAATTTACCAATAAGTCTTATTGATATTGGTACATAACTTTGTTTGATTTATTAAAAATTTTGTTAACAATAATTTAGGTGAGATTGATTTACTTGAGAGAAGGTTATTATGGTTCATCCGGGTATCATGCTGAAGATCTAGCTATTATTGTGTTATCAAACAAAATTACACTTAGCGATGTAGTTTTGCCTGTTTGTGTGGACTGGTCTAAAAAATATTCCGTTTTAAAAGGATCTATTGGAAAAGTAAATTTATTTAGTACTTTTATTACAATATACTTATTAGTACTAATGTACTTTTTGGTAGGTAATCGTAATCGAGTGTTTACTCCATAGCCTAATCCAGCCAAAAAGTAGGTACTTATACCTATTATTTCTGTGGTTTGATATTTTAATATTCTATGATTTGAGCATAGACTTTATAATATAAATCTGTTGAATTGGTTGAATTATGTGATTTTATTTTCAGCATTATCATCACTCACAGTCAGTGTTAATTTTATTATTTTAGGTCGTCGGCTGGGGGCTAACAGAAAAAATGGTAGGAAGTTCTGTTTTATTAGAAGCTAATATACCATATATCGACCATCAGACTTGTCGGAATATGTACCAAAATGGATTTCAGTTCTTCGTTACTGTTGATAAATTCTGCGCCGGTACTAAAAGTGGTGAGTAATAAAAGTTTATAATGATTGAAATGTATAAGACCAACTACAAGGCATAATAATATGATAGCTTAAGTTTTTGTAAAATATTTATCTACGTTTGAACCGTAGTTTCGTGATAATGTTATATTTCATTAAATTATATTTAATTTTTTTAATTTTAATTTTTTCAAAATTTGGCAAAAATTAATCGAATTCTAAAATATTTAAATATAATTATAATGTATTGACGCAAAAGATTTGCTTTCGTAGTTATTATTCTTATTACAGTTGCTATTGTTAATAGGACCGCATCATAATATTTTATGCTATCGTAATTCGTAATAACTAATATTATTTATCATAACATGGGTTTTGCTTCAAAATTTTGCAAGATATGAAATTAATAGTTATCTTGCTACTTTTAGCGCTATTTAATAGTTGTTTATTATTTTTATTTTAGGATATATAAGCAACTAATAACTATATATTGTTACGTTATCTTTGTTTCTAATCATATTAGTACTAATTTTTAAAATCATTTTAGGACAAGGAGTTCATCACGGTGATAGTGGTGCCGGATTTACCTTGGAACATAGCTCTTTACATTTTTTAACTGGAGTTGTGAGTGTAAAGGACGCTGCTACAAATGATTCAATCGCAGTTTTTACAGATGTTAGTCGCCACGTTACATGGATTCACGAAATTTATAATAATTATACTTATACAACTGACAGTTTTTTTAGGTCTAATAAGATAGGGCAGTAAAAATAACTAAAAATTATAAATTATATCTTACCATCAATATTTTAATATTGAACTCGGCTTTTATAAATCTTTTTTTTACCTTTGTTAAATTTCTAACTTTTTTACATTTTGAATTATTGTATCACAAACACAAAGAAATGATATATTATACATTTATATTGAATTTATTAAATTTTAAGTTAACCTTTTGTGGCAATAACTGAATATTGATTTTTAATAGCTACTAGGTACTAGGTATAATATTATAAATTATATTTTTCATGTTTGGTATTTAATAATAAATTATTATGACATTTCATAATACAAAAAATGTATTTTTATATTTTATGTATATTATATAATAAATTTAAATTTTTCCATGAAGACCCAGGACTGAGTCCAAATAGTAGAAATTTAAGTGGTTACCTTAACCTACAAAACATATAATGGCATCAGTAGGGCTCGGATTTAAATGCCCTAATGTATCCATTAATGTAATCCATTTACATCAAAAAAATGCCCTTTCAAAAAATGCATTTAAGACCTAAAAACTCTAAAAAATACCCTAAAAATATCAAAAAATACAAAAAAAAAATGTTTGTGCTTATCTCATGATACATGTTGAGTAATTGTAAACTTTTTGTCAGCGGCAACTTTCACCTCACATATTTTACAAAATTAAATTTGACCATCCGTAGAAAACACATCACTACCATATTCTCTTACGTATCCACGAAGTCGGTCCGAACCTGGCATCTTTACTTTAGGCATTTCAATCTTCGTTTATACAAATATAAAAAGCGAATTAAATAATATACGTAAAATAATATGTAACATGTAAAATACACCTGCAGTAAGTACCTTCGACGTAATACGCAACACGACTGAAAGCGTCCGATAATCGGCCACGCGCACCACCGATATAATATTATCGCTCGATAAGAAAATAATCAGATAAAAGTTTAGTTGTGTGCAATAATATCGGCTAATTGGATGGTGTGACATAAAGATTGTAAAAACCTGGTGTCAAATTAGTTAAAATAGTTCAAAATGAAAATAATTTTTATTACGTAGTACTATACTACTATGTATAGTACTTATATTTCAATGAGGTCAATTTTTTTAGTCATAATACTACAAATAGGTCAAAAATGTCCTAAAAAATTAAAAAATATATTAAAACCGTCAAAAATGCCCTAATAATGATGAAAACCGCTAAAAATGCAAAAAAAGCAAAAAATGCCCCAAAAAATTATTGTAATTAGATCACGAAGTACTTGAAACATATTTGTAGCTTGGAAAGCATCGCGTAAGATATCCCCAAAAAAATATGCAAATGCATTGAAATCCGAGCCCTAGACATCAGTCTTGGTCATGAAACTCTACCTTTCATCCTATCTAGTACGGTTCCTTAGATGCTTGCAATTTACACAATTTACACCATTTACACCATTTATTTTATCATTTACTAAAATCATTTATAACATTTTCAAAATATTTTGTAGGTTTTAAGCAGATTATGGACATTTTCAATTTGTTTTATAAATGTCAATACAATGTTATACGTTGATTCTTAAAGCTTGAATATGTAATACAAGGCTCCGATATATTGTTATAAACTTATAACAGCAGTGGAAAAATATTAAAATAACAATTTGAATTTTATTAAATTGAAAATTTACTATTTATTTATAAAAAGTATAACTTTTACAACTAAGGTTTAAAATTTAAAACGAAGTTCCACGTAAGTAGTTAATTCTATAATCAAAAAATTGAAAAAAATATATGAACACAGTTTTTTTTATAGTTATGTTTTATCAATATTTAAATTTATATCTTGGAGGTCCCAGCCAAGTCCCCCAGATTTCAGGATCCGGCAATGGGATTCTCCTCCCAAGTCCTGTGCGGCCGCACTCCTACACGTCCCTCTCGATGGCTCTGAATTTTCTGTCATCGTGCAATCATACAAGTATTTTACTTATTTATTTGTGACAGAAAATCTAAACATATAATTATCTCGTACCTATATAACCTATTTCTGTATAATAGATTCTAGGATATAATGTTTCAAGATGTATATTATAATTACACGACTGTTCAAGTTCTAGAATATATGCATTATGCAGTGTTGTGAAATATCTAGATAAGCTATTTAAATAAAAATATTTATCTTTTTATCTAGATAAAATAAAACTACTATCTGATTATCTCCGGATTATCTCCAGATAATTAGATAATATTTTTATTAATTTCTTTCACTTGATTTTTTCCGTTTTTCTATAAATGTTAATACTTATTTGAAATTTAAAACAATGCGCCATAATATGCCACAATTATTTCACAAGGCAATCATCCGAAATGCATAAGAATTTTTAATGTTAGTATGTTTAAAACCAAACAAAATAAATTGTCAATTTTTTTAGATTTAATTATCTGCATTAATTATTATTATTTTTGTTTGCAATAAAACAATTTTTATCAAAAAAAGTCATTATTTCATACAACAATAAAATGTGTCCAGATAATTTAAAATGTCCAATATAATAATATTTTATTTAAAATAATAAATGTTTGCAACAAAAAAATTATAAATATGTATAATGTATAATGTATATACATCATAATTTAATTTATACAGTTTTAAAACACGTAAAAACTATATAATTATTTGTTTTTTATCTAGATAAAAAGGAGATTATCTTATATATTTTATCTAGATACTTTTTTTGTTAAACTACCTATCTATTATCTTATCTAGATAATTTTAAAGTTATCTTTGCACAACACTGAATATAAGTATACCTAAACCTAACCTATATATCTGGTAGGTACATATTATTGTTAATTTGCAAAAACAGATAAACTAAAAATAATTTATATTTTAAGTCCGAATTATTCATCTTACTATATTTCAACATAAATATTAATATTATTATACACTTGAAAAACGAATAGTCGTGATGGGGGAAACTTCACTTATAACCCCCCACTAGCTATGCCATACTCAACCCGCCGGCTATTCACTATTCAGTCGATCATAAACGTTTGTACTGGCTTCACCATATTAATGATAGTATAAGATTTGAGTGTTGAATTGTAAGCAGTTATTTCTGAATCAGTCAAAATTATTAATCGTGTACAATTAATTTTAATATAATATTATCTATTTAGTGTTGTTATCTTATTCAAGTTTCGATATACTTTCGTCGTCAATCGATGACCATGAAATCTTTGTTCTCCTGGCTAACGTGTTTTTTTTTCATTTTCGGTACGTAATTTTAATACATTACGATGCGTAAATATTACCTAATCTATCTACTATATAATACTTATTAGCTATTACCTATGTTTATAGTATTTTAGTAAACGAAAAGCATACATTTAAATATAAATCTTATGTAGGCATATATTATACATTAGTTGTATACAACCATTATATTGACGCAGTATATTAAGGGAGACCCGGGACAAAACTACAACATACGATGAATTTATCTTTTGCAGTTTGCATGATAATATTGTTAAGAACTGGTAGGAGTTGTCCAATATTCTTTGTGATTAATTGTATGTGTTATTTGTGTCTAATATTGTAAATTTGTATCTACTAATATTTAAATATAAACCAATCATTTAGGTAGGTAATCTAAATAAACGAATAATAAAATACTAAATATAGGTAGGTACCTATAAGATATTAAAATAAATATAATTATACATACATTTCTAAAAAAAAGAAGAAATTAGCATTTTTTATAGAAAAGTATTTTCATAATAAAACATTTTAATATTTTAATCATTCTCCATTTAAACATTAAAAAGTACAATCATTTTTAATAAGAATAATCGATGTTATATTGCTGTAACTTGTATAATGTACTTGCCACGAGAAATAACAACTTATTTTTTGCTTATTATTTAGACATAATGTAGGTATTAAATTTTTCAATCAAATAGAAGTGTATTTATTGGAAAATTATAAATTACTTTTGTATATTCATAATATTAAGAGTTAAATGTAACTTTTGTCCTAACTTTCCTAATCTTTCTACCATGATGATAACGGAATGCCATAGTTATTTTTCGTAAATGTTCCATTTAATTTTAATAAATATTTATAAAGCATATTCAATGTAGGTAATATAGGACGTAATATCGAATCTAGTAGGTATTTATAAATACTTGCCACTTGAACCATTTTTATAAATAATAAATATTATTTATTAGTTATTACTAATATTTTTGAATTTCTATAGCCCACATATTTCCCAAACCCGTTATCATTTATTATCCTTGGTACACAAAATTAAATAACCTAAAACTATTAGTTTGAATTTTGAATTTGATGCTTCAAAATATTTAAACTCATTTTCTGATAAATAATTTACAGTAAAAAGGAAGGTTTTAATTAGAAAACCAGGCGTTTGAATCTCCACAGATCAATACTTAAGTATTATAAAACATTTTAATAATTTGAAAATTCCGAAAATCTTATTTCAAATAACTGCATTATTGAAGAAAAAGGGGGTGAGCATGCTTGGTGAATCACTCAGTAGATAAATACTAAGTTGAAATAAATGTATTAATGCCAATTTGCCTACCCCTGTCGATTATACATGAATTGCAATATTTTATTATTTTAGAAACGGGCATTTTGTGTGATAGAAAACTTGAAAAACGACAAACCATATTTTCTTGCCCGGGGTTGGTAACTATACTATATACTATGTTTTCACAATAAATAATAATAAACTTCTATTTAGACTATAATTAATGTAGCTTTTACAAAATATATTTTAAGTGCTACACTTAACTTTAACTTGTATGTAAATTAATTAATTAAATTCTATTTTAAAATCATAATGGTATTATATTTATTAATCATTTAAATTGTCAAATTTTAAGAATTATATAATATATTGTATCTGTAAGAAGCTTAATACGTGTATTATATTATGTGCAATATAAAATATGTTCTAGATATAATTTATGTTTTATGTACTTTAATTTTAAACTACATAATA